CTTTTTCTCAACCATCCTGAACACCTCCTCTGTCAGCCAGAGTTCATGGGGAGGTCTGGACCGCGTACCCAAAGCAGCCATTGCAGCTGCATGAGTCACAGTCCTAAACCTCGCCCATTTACCCCCGACATCAGGAGGAGTCGGGGACGATGCCAATCCCAGCCGCAAGCGATGATGACATTCTCGCTTGCAACTTTCATCAGATAACTGAGACCAGGCCACTTTAGGTTGGAATGGGGTCCTGGGTGTACACCCACCACCGGAGTGGAAGAATGGCAGGCGCATCTTACAGATGACTAGTCGATGGTCAGAGGGCAGATCAGCTCCACGGTAGGTCCTGGTGTCAAGGACATGGGCTCGCATCCGCTGGTCCGTCACTATGTAGTCCAGCAGATGTTCTTGCTTGGACCCGGCATGCATCCATGATGTTGTGTGGATGCGCCGATGCTGGAACAGCGTGTTGGTAATGACAAGCCCATGAGCTGCACAAAAATCTAGCAGCCTCCTACCGTTGTTATTGAGCTGATCTGGCCCATGCCCTCCAATCACTCCAGACCAGGTGCCAGTATCATGACCAACTCGGGCATTGAAGTCACCCAACATGATGACTCTATCCCGAGGGGCCACTTTAGCCAGCACCTGTGACAGGAGGTCATAGAAGGCATCTGACTCATCGGCTTTGCCTGCATTCCTCCACGGATGTTCATCTTCGGTGGGGGCATAAGTAACCACGACCACCATTCCTCGCCTCCGGTTGATGGGAAGGCGAGCCCAAAGTAGCCTGGGGCTTACAGCTTCCCACACCTCACCGCCATGCTCCCACGCCCCCATTCATTCTTTTGTTCAAAAGAAGAGCCACACCCTGTTGTTTGGCAGTCTGCTGCCCCGAGTAGAGGACTGTCCACCCCTCATGGTGGCAAGAGCCAAAGCCGGTCCACCGGACCTCCTGAATGCCGCATAGATCCAGGCGGTACCGGTCCAGCTCCTAACAGAGGAGTGGCAGCCTCTCCTCCGCAGTGAGCGTTCGAACATTCCACGTGGCCACCCGTAGTGGCTTTTCGTTGTTTCTGGAGGAGCCCCGAGGGTAGGTATTCAATCTCCTGGCTCCGCCAATTGGGGTTTGGCCAGGAGACGTCATAGACGCCTGGCCCCCCGGGGCCTCCGGCACAAGCTTATTAGTTACATATTTCAGTTTAAATCGTGGTTTCGTGGTAATTAATTGAAGGTGAAGGGGTTACCAGCCCCTCGCACCCGTCCAGAGCCCCCGTTTAGCCCCTGTGGTGGACACATATGCCATGAGGGGAGGAGCCAATCAAAATTGGATCTCCCCCCACAGCACTGTCCACGACAGAGTTGCCCATCCGGCACCGCGAGGAGGTAGGGGGTTGTTTTCCCGGACACACTCCTAAACCACGTGTTCACTCTCACACACTCTCACACACACACTCCTAAACCACGTGTTCACTCACTCACACACACTCCTAAACCATGTGTTCGCTCTCACACATACACACTCCTAAACCACGTTTTGCACTCTCATACACTCTCACACACTCTCACACACTCCTAAACCACGTGTTCACTCACTCACTCACACACACTCCTAAACCACGTGTTCACTCTCACACACTCTCACACACACACTCCTAAACCACGTGTTCACTCACACACACACACTCCTAAACCACGTGTTCACTCTCACACACTCTCACACACACTCCTAAACCACGTGTTCACACACAAAGACAAATTTCCCCCCTAGAGCCTTCACAGGCTGTTGGGGACAAGTGCCGTTAGCGATCACCTAATAGAGCACCGATGAATGACCGACACGGCACACGAAATGGGATGGTGGCTGTAATTGCCACCACCACGCCCGGCCGCCTTTGTCTCCCCGCGACCGGCATAAAATATTCGCCACTCTTGTCGGTCGCGAGCGATGAAGTAGCCCAGCGCGCTAACCACTGCGTCACCGCTCCCTCCACGTAATGTACAACTTCTCTTAACACGCGCATTCACACGGTGGAGGGGGGGGGGTTCTACTCTCGCTCTCTCTCTCTCTTCATCATTCACCTCCAACTCGGGAAATTTGCGCACAGCAATGCAATTTTTGGGCGTGTGTGTCTCTCTGTGTGTGTGTAAAACCCAATATCTTCTCGACCTAGCCTGAAATGAGTAGCTTGGTGCGGTGTGTAGTAAAACATCGCCACTAGGGAGACAAAGGCGGCCGGGCGTGGTGTTAGCCACCCACCCCCTCGTGTGCCGTGCCGGCCTTCATAGGTGCTCGCTAACAGCACTTGCCCCCACAGTTCTGTTCAGGCTACATGGGGGAGCTTTGTCTGTGTATACAACGCATTGCTCTGCACACGGCTATTCGCGGGCACGTATCCATCTCGAGCTGTATATATTATTTATGTATTGGATTACAAACGCAACACGGATTGATGCCGATCCAGCAGAGGTCGCCGGTTCGATCTTCTCCCCCCAACGCACACAGCACCTCGATGAGCGGTGCTGTTGGATTGGCAGGTGTCGTGTCGGTGTCGGTGGCAGTGCCGGATGAAGCGCAGTGCGGGGCCTGCAGCACGTGGTGGTGTTGTTGTTGTTATGAAGGGGCCCCTTAAATATTAAATATTAAAACACACATTTTTTTTTTAACTCGCACAGTGAAGTAATTGTATCTTTTGTCATTTTGCTAGACGGCCCAGATAATACAACGAAACGCTAACCTTCAACACCCGATCGTTCGTAAAAGTCGAAGGCGGTATAGTACTATAGTAATAGAGCAAGTGCCGAATCACTGAACCGGGACTGATAGCTTGAGAGCGTTTAGCGCGGGGCCCTTGAAAGTGTGGGGCCCGTAGCTACTACTTATATAGTAGCTACTACACGTGTAGTAGTAGCTACTACTACATGTAGTGCATGTAGTAGCTACTACTTATATAGTAGCAGCTACTACATGTAGTAGTAGCTACTACTACATGAGGTAGTGGTAGTAGCTACTACTACACGTGTAGTAGCTACTACTACTACACGTGTAGTAGTAGCTACTACACGTGTAGTAGCACCCCCACAGTCTGTTAAGGCTACATGGGGGAGCTTTGTCTGTATATACAACGCATGTAGTAGCAGCTACTACTACACGTGTACACGTGTAGTAGTAGCTGCTACTACACGTGTAGCTGCTACTGCACATACTACGATAATCCGGCACTGGTCGGTGGGGTAAAACGTCGGCAGCTCGCACGCCTTCCAACGGCGTGCGAATGCGCAGCGACTTTGCAGGGCCTCTCGCGGCGGGCAGCTGCACTTGTGAGCGCGCAAGATATTTCCGCGCGCAGAAGCGTACACACACACACAGAGAGAGAGAGAGACAGTGATTCAATTTCTCTCGCAATGCTCGTGAGAGAGAGAGAGAGGCTTGGCGCGCACATTGGAATGTATACTGCGAGCGGTGGCGCAGTGGTTAGCGGCGATTATCCTGGACCGGTTCCTGGGGTCCTCCCCGAGGTCGGCGCGGCCTCTACGTAAAGCGACGTCCCGCGACGCGGAGAGACAAAGGCGGCCGGGCGTGGCTGCTGGGCCGTGCCCACGATCCCGCTACCCACCCAGCCTCCTCGTGCGCCGTGGCCGGCCTTCATGCGTAGGTGCTAACCGGCTGATTGAGCTAAAACATCGCCGCTGGGGAGATATCACAGCGGCGGCCATCCGAATCGGTCCTGGGCCTCCCCTAGGTCGACTCAGCCTTCAAATGAGCACCCCGCTTGCGTGGTGTAATTTTTTTTTTGTTTAATCATCGCCACTGCGGGGAGAGACAAAGGCGGCCGCGGCGAGGTGCTGGCCAACCACCCACACACCCCTCTCGTGTTGCGTGGCTGGACTTGGTGCATAGTCGCTAACTGGCTAACTGCACTTGCCCCAAGGGTCTGTTCCAGGCGATGCGGTGGGGTGGGGTGGTGAGATTGTGGAGTGTGGGGGGGGGGGCATGCTGTTATATCGAAGAGGGGAAATATATATATATAGGTGGGGCTGGGCTTAGCCGAATGGGGGGGGGGGGGTTGTACGAACGATGAAGAGAGAGGGGGGGGGAGAGAGAGGAGAGAGGGGGGAGAGAGAGTGCAAGAGACAGACTGAGAGCGAGAGAGAGGCACACACACAGTGTGTGTGAGAGAGAGAGGGAGAGTGGATTTGCACGTCTACGGCTCTATAGATTGCTGTGCTCACGAGCTGCCCTTGTCATTCGCATCCACCACCACCACCACCAGCAAGCACCACATCCACCACCTCCATATCCACCACGTCCACCACCTCCACCACCACCACATCCTCCTCCATCACCACATCCTCCACCACCACCTACACCACCTCCACCACCTCCACATCCTCCTCCATCCCCACCTCCACCAACACCTCCACCACCACCTACACCACCACATCTTCCTTCATCACCACATCCTCCATCACCTCCACCACCTCCACCACCTCCACATCCTCCTCCATCACCTCCGCCACCTCCACCACCTTCACATCCTCCTCCATCCCCACCTCCACCTCCACCAGCACCTCCACAACCTCCACATCCTCCACCAGCACCTCTCCCACCTCCACCAGCACCTCCACCATCACAACCATCACATCCTCCTCCACCAGCACCTGCACCACCACCATCATATCCACCACCACCTCCACATCCTCCACCATCACCACCATCACCACCACCACCACCACCGCCACCTCCACATCCTCCATCATCACCACCATCACCACTACCGCCACCATCACCACTACCGCCACCACCATCGCCTCCACCAGCACTTGCACCATCACATCCTTTGCATCCTACTCCTGCATCACCACCACCTCCACATCCTCCACCACCACCTCCACATCCTCCTCCACCACCTCCACCACCACCACCACCTCCCCCACCACCACTACCACCACCTCCACCACCACCACCACCTCCACCACCACCACCACCTCCACCACCACCTCCCCCACCACCACAACCACCACCTCAACCACTCTAGCGCACGCGGGCGGTGCTCAAGAGACGAGACAGCTTCGCCAGACAGCTCCCGGTGTTCTTCCGTCGAAGAAGGGCACACAGACAGACAGGTAAGACACACACGCACACACGTCACGTGAACACACACACAGACAGGTAAGACACACACGCACACACGTCACGTGAACACACACAGACAGACAGACAGGTAAGACACACACACGCACATCACGTGAACACACACAGACAGGTAAGACACACACAGGTAAGACACACACACACGCACGTCACGTGAACACACGCATACAGGTAAGACACACACACGACACGTGAACACACACACAGACAGACAGGTAACACACACACACGTCACGTGAACACACACACACAGACAGGTAAGACACACACACACACGTCACGTGAACACACACACACAGACAGGTAAGACACACACGCACGTCACGTGAACACACACACACAGACAGGTAAGACACACACACACGACACGTGAACACACATACACAGACAGGTAACACACACACACGTCACGTGAACACACACACACAGACAGGTAAGACACACACACACGCACGTCACGTGAACACACACAGACAGGTAAGACACACACAGGTAAGACACACACACACGCACGTCACGTGAACACACGCATACAGGTAAGACACACACACACGACACGTGAACACACACACACAAACAGGTAAGATACACACACACGTCACGTGAACACACACACAGACAGGTAAGACACACACGCACGTCACGTGAACACACACACAGACAGGTAAGACACACACACACGTCACGTGAACACACACACACAAACAGGTAAGATACACACACACGTCACGTGAACACACACACAGACAGGTAAGACACACACGCACGTCACGTGAACACACACACAGACAGGTAAGACACACACACACGACACGTGAACACACACACACAGACAGGTAACACACACACACGTCACGTGAACACACACACACAGACAGGTAAGACACACACACACGCGCACGCACGTCACGTGAACACAGACACAGACAAAGCTCTCCCACGGTGTAGCCTCCGCGGACTCTTGGGGACAAGTGCCTCTCGCGGGCAGCGTCTGACGAAGGCCGTCACGGCGCCTACAAGTGGGCAGCACGACGCCCCGGCCGCCTTTGTCTTTCCCCACCTCCTCCCCCCCCCCCCCCAGCGATGATGTTGGTCGCCACACTCTTCCACCGGCTCCTCGTTTGAGGCTGAGTCGACTTAGAGGAGGCCCGGTCCGTAGCGCTCATCGCCGCGCCCACCGCTCCCCACTAAAGACAAAGATCCCCTGCGTAGCCTGAGCAGACTGTTGGGGCAAGTGCTGTTCGCGAGCAGCCTTGGCAAGCACCACCCCCGGCCGCCTTTGTCTCCCCGATGGCGATGTTCACTGCGCGCCGCACCAGGTGCTCATTTGAGGCTGAGTCGACCTAGGGGAGGTCCGGGACCGGCTCAGACAATCGTCGCCGCGAGCGGGAATCGAAGTCGGGTGGGTCGCAGCCAGGTTCGTAGCGCAGCACAGCGCTAACCACTGCGCCACCGCTCCCCGCACAAAGACAAAGACCCCCCCGTATAGCCTTGCCAGACTGTTGGGGCAAGTGCTGTTAGCTAGCACAGACACACACAGAGGTGAGCTGACTGTAAGATGTGTGGCAGGTAACATCGACTCGGTTAATTATAGTCAGTTAATTAAGCTCATGTAATTAGGTGCTGATTAAGTCTGCTAGCGTTGGGGTGTGTGTTTATCTGCGGGGGAGCGGTGGCGCAGCGGTTAGCGCACTGCTTCGGACTCTCGCTCACGGCCAACGCCGGTGACGATTATCTGAAACCGGTGCTGGGCTTCCCCTAGGGCGACTCAGCCTCAAATGAGTACCTGGGTGCGGTGTGTAAACATCTCCACTGGGGAGACAAAGGCGGCCGGGCGTGGTTCTGGCTACCCGCCCCTTCGTGTGCCGTGCCAGTCTTCATAGATGCTCGCGAACAGCACTTGCCCCAGCAGTCTGTTAAGGCTACACGGGAATATTTATAATTGTGTGCGTGTCAGTGTGGTTATGCACTTGCTCGTGTAGTCTCTTACAGGCTATACGGGGGATCTTTGTCTTTGTGTGGTTATGTATCTGTCAGACGTCTCATTCAGTCAACCCACACCACCTGGGTCTGTACGGTGACCTCCTGCACGTAACCTGGCACATTAGTCAACCCACAACGTCTGGGCCTCGAGGTGCACCTAGACTGGTACAAGCGGCGTGGTGATGTCACCGCCACCTAGTGGCGATGTTGTTGTTGTTGTTGTGTGTGTGTGTGTGTGCTCGCGAACAGCACTTGCCACACAAATCTGCTAAGGTCATTCGGGGGAATGGTCGTCTTGGCTGTGGGTGTCTCCGTGTGTGCGTGTGCATGGGGAGTGGGGAGCGGTGGTGCAGCGGTTAGCGCTACGCTGCGCTCGGAATTCCGGCGACCCGAGTTCGATTCCCGCTCACGGCCAACACCGGTGAGGATTATTTGAACCGGTCCTGGGCCTCCCCTTGGTCGACTGAGCCTCAAATGAGTACCTGGTGCGGTGTGTAAACATCGCCACTAGGGAGACAAAGGCGGTCGGGCGTGGTGCTGGCCACCCACCCCCTCGTGTACCGTTCCGGCCTTCATAGGTGCTCGCTAACAGCACTTGCCCCGACAGTCTGTTACAGGCTATACAGGGAATCTTTGTCTTTGGGGAGCGGTGGCGCAGTGGTTGGCAGTCACTGCCCTGCGAACCCGGCGCTGCGAGGCGATGATTTCTCTGAACCGATTCTGGGCCCTCCTCTAGGTGGACTCAGCCGTAAATGAGTGTCTGTTGCGGTGGGAAGACAACGGCGATTGGGGGTAGAGCTGGCCACTCACCACCCACCCCCTCCTGTGCCGTGCCTGCTGGAATAGGCGCTACTCACTAACAGCACTTGCCCCAACAAGCTGTTAAGGCTATACGGGTAGATCTTTGTCTGTACGTATGCATATTTTCAGTATAATATGTTTATGTGATGTGTATATTTCCATATTGGATACATTTAAGCATTAAAACCCACATGTGCATGTATAACACGTATTAATATGACGAAATATTGGACATTTAATATATTTCAATATTATATTCAATATTTGAATTTTAAATTTAGACTTAAAACTTTCGTGACTGCAGGAATTCATATTCTTGGTTCTTTCGGTAAAGTCACGTAGAGAGGAAACTATAATCTAAATTAAAAGCCAAAAACACAAACGGTCTTCTCTCCAGCTTCCACCTCAACAAGGCCGCTTGTTTTGCGATCGAAACGGCGTGGGATTCTTGCTTTTAATCTAGATTTTAGTTTTCTATCAATATAATATGGAATTTTTGTGAATGCGACGACGATGATGATGTGAACGGCAAATAAATAATTTATTCCCTAATGTTTCTCTTTAAACAAAAAAAAAATCTCTACTCCACTGGTAATGGCCGAAAACATTAACGATAATTAAAGTCGTTGTAAATGATAAGCACATTTTAATGGTGTTAATGTTGAGAAGAAATGCGGGCAATGTGGAATAATATAAATTCTATATTTAATTTGTAACACTGCTCTAGAAAGGATTGTCCATCAAATTAACATCGAGACAGTGGGTGATCGACTCACGCACCCGCGGCAGAGGCCAATGGTGGAAATTCCACGTTCTCATGACGGGGATTATCTAATCCGCACACAAATTGGTAACTATAATAGAGGTTTTTTTGGGGGGGGGGGGGTGAGATCGCGTAAATAATCAACCGGACACAACCCGACTCAGCCAATCAGTGAGGGTGCGTCGCGAAAACCAAACGCGCCAATTCGTGATGCGTACATCACATCATCATCAGGCGGACAACCACAAAGTGGTACCTATTTTATCGACCCCCCCACCCCCCACCCCACCACGTAGGCTGGGGAACACATGGCGGTATCGTCTAGATGAGTCGACCCAGGCTAGGAATTGAACTCACGCTCATTCCGCTCGCAAGCCACCCAGCCGGATAAGTCTTCGTTGGAGCGTTCATAATACACTTTGGAATTAATGCTTTTAACTATCACCATCAGCATTTTGGCGTCGTGTCATGCTTTGTAACGCGTTGACATGCATCATGTTAATTTATGCAAATCGCAGCGTGTTAAAACAGTAATTCTTATTATTATTAGAAGTTAAATCCCTGTGCAGAAGACTTGTCTTTCATTAAAAACACGAGAGAGAAAAAACACCTAAAGCCCTTTTCCAGCAGTGGATAGCCCGAGGCTGATGTTGGCGCAGTTTGTAAAGCTATTGAAGATATATATTTTACAAGGCCTTAATATTATAATTACATAACTCTGCCATGATCTTTCACGTGCAGTATGACAGGGAGCATGCATGGCTACTGCAGAGATCCTGTGCATGGGCGCTATGGAGGAGCGGTGGTGCAGCGGTTAGCGCGATCCGCTACAAACCCGGCGACCCGAGTTCCATTCCCGCTCACGGACACCACCAACACCAGTAACGATTATCTGGGCATTCCCTAGGTCGACTCAGCCTGAACTCAGTACGTGGTGCGATGTGTAAGCATCGCCACTGGGGGAGACAAAGGCGGCCGGGGGTGGTGGTGTTGGCAAACCCACACCCCCTCGTGTGCCGTGCCGGCCTTCGTAGGTGCTCGCTAACAGCACTTGCCCCAACAGTCTGTTGATGCTATACGGGGGGGGGGGTCTTTGTAATGGAGAGCACGATTATTGAAGCCGGTCCTGGGCCTCCCCTAGGTCGACTCAGCATAACATGAGTTACCTACTGCGATGTGTAACAGTCGCTGCTTGGGAGATAAAGGCGGCCGGGCGTGGTGCTGGCCACCCACCCCCTCACCCACACTCGAGCCTCACGGATTGTCACGCCAGCATACACGTAACGAACAAACCCCCTGCTATTTCCTGTGCCAGGCTAGGTGCACTTAGATTGGCAAAAGCCCGCTGGCAGGAGGTCACGGGACAGACCCAGGTGCCATGGATGCACCACCTGTACTCACCACCGTGCCAACTCGCGTTTTATCCGCCCGGCGCTCCGGTCGTTGTTGTGAGCGTCGCTGTTCCGCTCTGCGTTGTTGCTGGAGGGCGGCTGCCTCCAACTGCCCAGCAGCCTCCAAGTGCCTCTCGCGAGCCGCCTCTACAGGGGCAGATCTAGACACCGCTGGTACCGCTCATCGGCAAGTCCACTCAGCTCCACATCCTCCTGTACCGCATCAGCTCCATCTCCTCCACAGCCCGTGCCACGTCCGTTTGAGCCACCCCCCCCCCCCCCCCCCCTCTATCGCGGTGGGGACGGCGAATAGCCATTTCCCTCCCCCCCCCCCCGCCCCACCTTCAATATTCCTTGAAGAGCCGCAGATTTGCCAAACGCCTGAGCCAAACCAAAAACAACTACGTCTGGTGCGTGCGCGATGGCTGCGGCACGTGGGGCTCACGCGACCCATCGACCCACGTGACGTTACCGAAAGAACCAAAGAGCATGGATTCCTGCAGTCACGAAAGCTTCAAAGCAACACTGCCCATAGACTCAACAAATGCCCATAGACTCAACACTGCCGATAGACTCAACACTGCCCATAGAATCAACACTGCCGATAGACTCAACACTGCCAATAGACTCAACACTACCCATAGACTCAACACTGCCCATAGAATCAACACTGCCCATAGAATCAACACTGCCGATAGACTCAACACTGCCAATAGACTCAACACTACCCATAGACTCAACACTGCCCATAGAATCAACACTGCCGATAGACTCAACACTGCCAATAGACTCAACACTACCCATAGACTCAACACTGCCCATAGAATCAACACTGCCGATAGACTCAACACTGCCAATAGACTCAACACTACCCATAGACTCAACACTACCCATAGAATTTTGATTTAAAGCTTTCGTGACTGCAGTAATTCATATTCTTAGTTCTTTCGGTAAAGTCACGTTGAAGGGAAACAATACAATAATAAAATATATACAAAACAATAAAAATTCTCACGACGTTTCGACCATAACACAAACGGTCGTCATCAGGTGTGTCGGTTTGCATAAATTTATTATTTTTAAACGGTGTATTTATTTATAAAAAAAAACGTTAGCGCCACGCTCAGCGATTTGGCAGTTTATTTAGAAGGACTAGTCCATCTATGTTCTGAAAAGAGGAGGGGGGAGACGAAAAATTTAATGTATGCTGTCTGAAAGCCACTGTAAGCGTGAACAATCAATTAAGACCTGAAATGGTTTATCAAATCTTTCCAATGATTGCTAAGCCAGAATCCATCTTCTCGGTTGAAATTGTCTCTGTGCTTGTATATGTGGATAGCCTCATGAACGAATCTCTCATGGTAGCCAGATGGCTTACAAAGAACCTCTGTCTAGGAAAAGTCAATGTCATGTGAGCCTACTGAATTATAACAATGATCTGCCACGGCCGAGGTGTTGGTCCTACCGTGTTTAAGGTCTGCTTTGTGTTCACGAATGCGGTCCGAGACATGGCGTTTGGTTTCTCCAATGTAACTACTACCACAGAGGCAACTTAGTTTGTAGACACCAGGGTATTGTATGTCCGGAATCACATCTTTTACAGACGGAACCAGATCACGGATTTGTTGCAATGTGTTGAAACGGACCTGGATCTTGTGTTTATTCAAGATTTTGGAGATCTTTTTTGTGATCCTCGCAATGTAGGGTAAAGTGATGGTTTTGAAAGGCTCCTCAAGAGGGTCCTTCTTCATGGTTTGAGTGATAGCTTTGCGGATTGTATAGTCGGAGTAACCATTAGCCTTAAGAGCTTGGTGTACGTGCTTGAGTTCACTGCCTATGTGTTCCTGGTCGGATATGCATTGGGCTCTATGATACAGAGTCTTGATGAGAGAATTCTTCTGTGATGGATGGTGGTGGGAATCCGGTTTCAGATAAGCATCCGTATGGGTAGCTTTCCTGTAGACAGAGTGGCTCATTAAACCATCAGGTCTTTTTTTAATTAGGACATCCAAAAAAGGTAGCTTGCCATCTTTTTCGACTTCCATGGTAAATCTGATGGCTGGGTGTATGGAATTGATGTGGTCGAAGAATTGGTCTAGAGCAGGCCGGCCATGTGGCCACAATTATTCGACCACATCAATTCCATACACTGCCTATAGACTCAACACTACCCATAGACGCAAAACTGCTCATAGACTCAACACTACCCATAGACTCAAAACTGCTCATAGACTCAACACTGCCCATAGACTCAACACTGCCTATAGAC